GAAACTGCACTGCCGTTTCGTTTCAGCCATAGTATACAACTTACGACGTTTAGGCAACACGTACAGCTGCGGAACCAGTACACATCAAGTGTTCAACAGGTGCTACGAGGGTGATCCCAGAAGTACCCACCCGACCCAACCAAGAAACAAAAATTTTGTAAAAAAATGTATTTATTTTTCAACATAATCTCTATACACTTTTCCAAGTGATGTTCAATAAGTTCGATACCCTTTTTAAATAAGAACTGTCTTGCTCCTCAAAATAGCCATTAACTGTCGACATCACTTCTTCATCGTTGGAAAATCTTCGACCACTGAGCCATTTTTTCAAGTTTGGAAACAGAAAATAATCCGTGGGGGCTAAATCTGGGGAATAGGGTGCATAAGGTGGCAATTCAAACTTTAATTCGTTAAGTTTGGCCATTGCAATAACGGATTTGTGAGCTGGTGCATTGTCTTGATGAAACAACAGTTTCTTCTTAACCAAATGCGGCCGTTTTTGCTTGATTTCATCGCTCAATCGTTGCATAATACTCGCAGTTGATAGTTTTACCTTTTTCAAGATAGTCAATGAAAATTATCCGACGCGCATCCCAAAAAACCGACGCCATAACCTTTCCTGCAGCTGAAACGATCTTCTCCTTCTTTGAAGCCGGTTGTCCCTTTTGAGTCCATTGTTTTGATTGTTCTTTTACCTCGGGTCTGAATTGATGGACGCATGTTTCATCCATGATTATGAAACGAACGTAAAAATTCTGCTTTGTTGCTGTGAAACTTCGCTAAACACTCAATTGAAACATCTTCACGATACTGTTTTTGCTTGATTGTGAGCAATCGCGGCACCCATCTTGCACACAGATTTCTCATGTCATGTCAGATAATATGCAATGAGCCGCACTTTTTAAAATGCCTACTATGTCTGCTAACTCGCGCACTTTCACTCGATGATCATTCAGTACCGCTTTGTGAATTTTCTTCACCATTTCTGGAGTCGTCACCTCATTTGGTCCACCACTGCGATGCTCGTCTTGGCAGCTCATACGGCCTCGTTTAACTCTGCTACCCGATATTTTACTGTTGTAAACGAAGGAGCAGACTCACCCAGAGTAGAATCCAGTTCAGCTTTTATATTGGTTGGGCTGAGGCCTTTGAAATAAAAGTATTGTACGACATAACGATGACCAATTTTCACAAATTCACTGTATTCAGTATTGATGGCTGCCAAACAAATACTAAACAACGTGGCGTCTTCAAACTTGACACATATGCTTTATAGGTTGCATACTTTCTAATACAATGATATTTTTCAAACAACTATCGCCATCTCTAGGTCAGGCCGGGTACTTCTGGGACCACCCTCGTAAGTTGACATCTTGTACGAAAACCTACATAATGTCAAAAAGGCCGAAAATGTCACTTTTCAATATACGTAATAAAAGTTTTTCCCAAGGAAATCAAATGGAAAACAGCAGGCGGCCAAGATGATTGACAGATGCAAGAACTAGAGATGTTGCAGAGGTAAATATGGGAATGTCCTCTCTTTAAGCGACGCATCGTCATCTGGTAACCGATCAATGAGTTGAGAATTTTTAGCGACTCTACGGTGTCTACAGTACAGTACCGGGAACTGATACTCAAATTTTCGAGAAGAACGGGAATAGGGGAAGACGGATGTGAAGACATCCAAATGTCAAAAAACCACGTAGTACGTCAATGGCATTTAAAAAAACAGACATATCAATTGAAAGTTTGTCTTCGCAGTGCCAAAATTAGGTCGAAATTCATTTCGAATCATGCCCCTGGAAGCAAGTACTTCTCCGGCAGCAGTTGGGTTTAAGCCAAATCCAAAGATTTTTTCGCGAAATCCCGCGGTGAGTGGAGCGGGAACAGAAGGAATTTCCCCCTAATCTCGAGAGTTTTGACAGTTTCAAGTTAAATTTTTGCTTTAAGCTCCTTGATAAACTTAGCTGCCTTCTTTGAATCTGAAATAAAAGGACCGATCGTTTTATGCAATGTAACGGTTGATTTTTTAAGAGGTATGGATTTGATTTTCAAAAAAAAAACACAAAAAATTTGAAAAAAACGATTAAAACTTTATTTGAGTCGATAGAACGGTCGATATAATTTAATGTTTAAAGATTATTTCATGTAAATGTTGGCCGCGGCTCCGCTTTAGATGGCCCATGCGCAATGTCCAATTTTGGCACACTCTCTCCAACATATCGGCGGTATCTCACGAATAAATGCTTCAATATTGGCTTCCAGTGCGTCAATCGTTACTGTTATCCCTGTAGACATTAGCCTTAACATGGCCCCACAAGAAATAGTCCAACGGCGTTAAATCACACGATCTAGGCGGCCAATTGACGGGCCCCAAACGTGAGATAAACTGTTCACCGAAGTAGGGCCATTGTTTCGTGTGCGGTGTGGCATGTGGCACCGTCTTGTTGAAACCACATGTCAGCCAAGTCCAGCTCTTCCATTTTGGGCAAAAAAAGTTTGTTATCATCCCACGGTAACGCTCGCCATTCACAGTTACGTTCCGGCCATTGTAGTCTTTGAAGAAGTACGGCCCGATGATGCCACCGGCCCTAATCCACACCAAACAGTGATTTTTTCGGGATGCATTGGTAGCTCTTGCAATGCTTCTGGCTGGTCTTCACTCCAGATGCGGCAATTTTACTTGTTAACCTACCCATTCAACCAGAAATGAGCTTCATCTCTGAACACAATTTTTCGATAAAAATGTGGATCTTCCTCCAACTTTGCCAGCGCCCATTCACCAAATTGGAAACGTTGTGTGAGGTCGTGTGGCTTCAATTCTTGCACCAGCTGTATATTATAAGGTTTTACACCCAAATCCTGTCGCAAAATTTTTCACGTAGTGGAGTAACAGAGGCCCAATTGCTGCGAACGGCGGCGAATCGACATTTCACGGTCATCACTAACACTGGCGGATACAGCCACAATATTTTCTTCAGGTTTAATGTCCAATAATGTAAACTGGGTTCGAAATTTAGTCACAAGCTTCCGAATAGCTCCCTCAGTAGGCCGACCAAATTGCCCATATATTGGAAGCAGTGCTCGATGCACTCTTAACCGAGCATGAATTTTGATGGTAAAATTCAATAATTTGCAAGCGTTGTTCGTTCGTAAGTCGATTCATGGTTAAATTATAGACCAAACTGAACAAGTTTGACAATGACACAAGACACGATTCACGCGACATCTGTCAAAAACAGTGTTGCCAAAAAGATACTAGCAAAAAAATCACCCATTATAAGGAAAGCAACCATTTGATAGGACAAGTGAAGTTCCTATATCTACGATGACCCCATAGTCTTCTCCCTCGTCATTTAAAATCAGGTGGACCTGTTCCTCCATTTTCTTGATTGTGATTTAATAATCTAGCTCAATTTTCGACACTGCGAAGACAAATTTTCAGTTGAGATTTTAGGCGGTTAATCCTTAAGGCAATTATTAAGCCCCATCCATCTGAAGCCAGTCCTGTTCATTCTATATTTCTCCTAGCGCATAAAGCATGCATAAAATTACGTATATACTCAGGAGTAGCGATCTCACATAATTTTCATGAACGTTTTGTTACCTCTCACTTGAGGATACCTCATAAAACGGGCGATAAACTTTTAGTGCTTCACGTGCGAAAAATTTGTCACAATAGTTCTTTGTATCGGAAAGTTACGAGGTTGACGCTGTTCAACGCGTACTCGATTTTAATACGCAATGGTTATATACGTCACATAAAGTGCGTAACGTAATGTAGATGAGATGACTGCGCGAAAGGGGTGCTTATTAGAATGATGCACTGAATACTATTAATATGTGTGAAGAATGGTGTCACCTATATTTTTTCATACTCGAACAGTCGCGTAGTCTTTTAAGCCTACATACTCAGCTGTTCGACACATGAATTAATATGACCATATTCTCTTAAGTTGAAAAGCAATTTACAACGTGAATTTTGAATTTTTTTAAGACGTTTAGCTGAAACTGAATCTAGAAATGAGTAGTATACGATATCACAATATGAGAATTTTGATATTATTAAAGATTTACATAAAATTTATTTGCATCTAAAATCAAGTATGTATTTCTTCATTTAAGTACAGATGCCGTAAAAAAGTAAAACAATTTTTAGTTACATTACTTACATGAGAAATAAATTTAAGATTTTCATCTATAAAGAAACTAAGTTTTTAACCTATTCTTCTATCTGAATAGCATGGCCATTTAGAGCATTGATTCCCAAAGTGGTCTATATCGACCCCTAGGGTCTATGACAACCTGCAAGGGGTCTACGTCAGCGAAAAAAAATTTGGGGGTCCATGAAAT